GGAAATATGTAAGGTTTTTACTCACCTTTTTCAAATCTTTTATCTCTATTTTTGAGCTCTTCTGAAAAAAGGCAGTGCTGTATTTAGAAAGCCAGGTGTTATCCTGTAATCAGTCAATTTCGGTCCTGTTGTCAGCCGAGGACTCAGATGCCTTTATCTGAGTGTTGAATGTAAATTGCCTGATCATGTTTCTGCAAAAAGAGGCTGTACTGTGCAGAGTTGATATGAAATCAATAATTACCTTAGAGAAAGTTCTTAACCTCCTTTTCAAGTTAACAGAATGTGGTTAGATTTGTAAGTTATACCTGAATTACTGTAATAGATGAAGATTCTAGCTTAGCATTCATGAACACTGGAATGCTTGCTCTCATGGGGCCATGTTGAACAAATATTTTTTAGTTAAAAAATTTTTTTTAAGTAGGGGGTGGGTAGTTAGGTTTGCTTTTTTGTTTCTAGAGGAGGCGCTGGGGATTGAACCCAGGACCTTGTGTATGCTAAGCATGCGCTCTACTTGCGCTAATACCCTCCCCCCCAACAAAGTTTCATTGGGGAACTCCTGCTGGAGATGCAGCCAACGTGCTTTAGGTGCTGGAGCACACAGCAATCAACAAAACAGACAAAAATTTGCTTTTGTGGGGTTTAATACATTGATGAGAAAAGGGAGGGTAGGCAGGATATAAAAGACATAAGTAACATGTCTGGTGTACTAGGCAGTGATAAGTGCTAAAGGGAAAAAGGGAGGGAAGACGTGTAGGAAGTGTGCGTGCACGTGGGCACGTGCCTGCCTACATACGTGCACATGTGTGACTGAAGGGTCTATTGCTGTTTTAGGTGGGAGGACCAGGAAAGGTCTCACTAAGAAGGTAACGAGTGAGTAAAGACTTGAAAGAAGTGAAGTTAGCCATGCTGATATCTGGGGAAGAGTGTTCCAGGCAGAGGGAACAGCAAATGCACTGTCAGAGGCAGAATCTGGGGCTCGCCTGGCATCACCCCAGCATTAGAAGCAGAAAGGGAGGCAGAATCCTCGCACCTGTCTTCTTTTTTCTCTTAGTCTACTGTCTACTTAAGGCATTCAAACCCGACCAAAAGCTTTTGCTCTTTTAATAGATGCTTTCTGTTGCTGAATTAATTGAATCCTTTAAGCTTCTGCCTCATTGTTTTGTGGCTTCAGCCATAGAGAAAATCAGGCTCATAATGCAGTAAGCCATAGGTAAAGCCGGTGTGTTCAGTGACCCGAGAATCACACAGCTCAGAGACTCGGGGGACGATTTCCTTTCAACTACAGTGCAGTAATCTAACAGATGTGATTCAGTGAGGCCAGCTCACCGTTATTCATCTTTATGGGCTCCTCTAATGTCAGCGTGCCTTGCAAACTTTCCACCCCCATATTTCAATCTCACTGACTATTTTTCTCTTCTGCTGGGTTACTCAATATCTTTTTTTCTTACACTCTCTGCGTCTGGGTTCAGCCAGCTTCTTAGGCACAAATATCAAGCTCTCTGTCTCCCTACGTGAAGCTCATCTCATGAATCCCAAGGCTTCCAACATGTTAAATTGAGCCCTGGTAGAGTAACATGTAACCACCTTTTGTATTAAATTAATATCCTAAGATCATTATTTGCTGTGTGTGTCTCACATTAAACATTTTAAGTTTCCTCCCTTTCCACTACCTTAGCTACAGATTGACCTTCTTTCCTAAGGTATTTGTTATACGATTTGAGCCATTTTAAGGAGGATTATGAATCTTGTTGGTTTAAGACTGTCAGCACTCAAGGAAGGGATGGTTGCCGCCTGAGGCTGTGAGGTCCTGGGGCTGAAAGCGCTCACTCAGTAAATGCCCTCAGTGGGGGAGGGGGGCTGCTGTTGCATCCTGGTGACGAGGGGTGGGGAGCGGAAAGGGAGCTGAAGGTTCCAGTTGTTCCCTAGGACGTGATGCAGCTTCTGCCTCCCTGTCCTGCCAGAGACGTGAGGTAATGAACGGTCAGGGTCTAACGTACTGTGCGCATTACCTCTGTGTGTGCATCTCCCTCACATCTCAGAGGTACCACCTTCTGACCATGACTATGGCTGAGAAGTCAACTATTCCCTGTTGGGAACCTGTCTTTCTATTCTATTTGTTCTGTAACTTCACTATTAAGTAAAAGGAGTGGGTTTATTCTTCTTAGCACTCAATCTCCACTTCCCACTAGAGAGCTCATGTTTTCTTTCATTCTGGAAAATTCTCAGCCATTTTTTTCTTTGGATATTGTTTTTGTGGCATTTCATCAGTCCTCGTTTTCTAGAAGCACTGTTAGATTGAAGTTGGAATCTCTTAGTTTATTCTCTATACTTCTTAGTTCTCCTTTACTTTCTTTATGTCTGTGCTGATTCTGGGTAATTTTCACAGTGTTTATTCAGTGATTATCTCCTTGACTATGTCTGGTCTAGAGTGTATCCCAGCTATCATTTTAATTTCAATGCATATACACTTGATTTAAAAAAATTTCAAATACACACCTGTTCTTATTTTATTATTTGGCTTCTTAGTTTCTTATTCTTTTTATGGGGCTACTTCTCCCTATCTTTGAGCATCTAAACATACTTTTTTTAAAGTGGAAAAAGTGAATCTCCATTCCATGTGTTGATGTTTTGGGCACTCCATCTTAGCATTAGTTTCCTCTATGAGTTTTAGAATTTGGGGTTGAAGGTTCAG